CTCTCTCTCTCTCTCTCTCTCTCTCTCTCTCTCTCTCTCTCTCTCCTTCTTTCTTTCTTTCTTTCTTTCTTTTTTTCATACTGGGGATTAGACCCAAGGACTTCACACTGAGCTAAATCCCTAGTTGCCTCTTTTTAAAAGGTTTGTTTTGTTTTGTTTTTAGACAGTCTTGCTAAATTGCTAAACTGTCCAGGCTGAGCTTGAATTTGCAATCCTCCTGCATCAGCCTCCCCACATGCTGGGATGACAGGTTTGTGCCACCATGACCAACTAAGTGACCATACTGGGAGGGGCTTAGTTTCTTCAACTATAAGGTGAAAAATTTGAACTGTAGCAGCTACTACATCCACCTTATATTTGTCTCATCACTGGCTATGTTGACTTCATTGTATGCACACTTTAAAGAGGCTGCCCCTTCTTTCTTTAAAATGGAAAGGGAATAAATGACAGCCATCTCCTGAAGGTGGTGGTGATGATGCCCAGGGGCCATAATGATCTCAGTTTACTTTGTTTGTAGTTGTCAGGCTTTTAACAGCTTAACTGAGACCCTGGGTTACACCATTGTCCTCAGGAGCCTTGGGATTTGCATTTGACCCAAGACCTCATTTTCATTCCCCAGAGGAAATATATACATATACAGTAGAATTGCAGCAATGCAGTCTGGCGTGGAATGTCTGTGTTTATCCCCACCCCAGCCCACCCCACCCCCACACCAGTCTGGGGATAGACCCCAAGGCAAGCACTCTCGCTGAGTTCCACCCACCAGCCTGTGGTTATTCTTTTAAGTGTTTCAAACTGTTGCTTCAGTTACCTTCTATAAATGCCCTATCCTGGGCAGCACAGGTCTCAAAACTAGCCTGCAGGCCACATTCAGAGAACAGCTGTGTATAGTGTGGTATTTGCTAAAACTTTGAATTTTAAAAATCAATTGCATTTAGAAATGTGAAGATTTCACATTTTAAATAATGCAGATTTCCTGCTCTTCTGCTTAAAAAAGACCTGTTAACACTGAATCTGCATTCCTATATATCTATATTCAACTAAAACTGCCCCCTTGAGGTAAGCATGAACAGTAAAGTTCTTTGCAGCCATTCCTACCTCTTTCCTCTGGTCTTTTGTACTGTCCCTGTCACCTTACCTGTGTGACCCTAGGTAATACAGCATGACTTATAAGCTGTCTATCCAACATTATCTGCCACCATCCTACAAAAAAGCCATGCTCCCACACTACTAAATTTGCTGACACTTCTCACACTTAAGTGCATTTGCACAAGCTAGTCTCTGCCAGGAATGCTTGCACCTCAAAAATTATTTAAGAATCAATCACATGTTCTCTTTGGTATGGTCCTACAACACACTCCAAACTGATTTTCCATTGTGTTTTCATTGTACCCTGAATATACCTTAATGATACCATTTACAACATATTTGGAATTTTTCCTGTGCTTTTGTCACCACTACACTGTTAGTTGATTGATGGTAAGAGCCATGCTTTGCCATTTTGATATTCCCAATAAAAATTATCATAGCACCTACTCTATAGGAGGCACCAGAACTGTTTGTCAAATGACTAGGGTATGAAGTCAGCCACAGTAACCCTGATTACCCAGAATTCCAAAAAAGGAACTGAGTCAAGGGATGCCTGTCAATACCACTTAGGAAACACCTCCTAGACACAGACCAATGTAATGCATTTTGGAAAGATATAAAGGAAGTAGAACCAAATGATGATTGTGCAATTGCTCTTTTATTTGTGTTACTGTGGGAGTTGCAGATGATTCAGAAAAGTAAATAAAACAAATTTGAATATAATTGGTTTGTAGTGCCTCATTTAGCTTTTCTCTCCCAGTTTCCTTTTGTACTTTTGCTCGTGATTTCTTTTACTGTGCTTTTTCATATGATGAGATCCCACTTATTGATACTTTGTGATATTTCCTGTGGATTGGGGTTTTGTTCATAAAGTATCCCCTTTTGCCTCTTTTTGCTCTTGCTGGTTTTGCTGTCTTCCACCGCCATGAACTATTCCCCTCTGCCATGTGCCACCTTGCCTTGGAGCCAGCTGATTATGGACTGAAACCTCTACAAACTGCGGACTAAATAAACCTTTCCTTCCTTAACTTTGGGTGTTGAGTATTTTGTCTCAGCAATGAGAGAAATTAACTAAAACAGAATTTGGCACCAGAGAAGTGGGGTCGTTGCTGTGACATTACCTGACCATGTGGTTCAGGAACCTTTGGGAACAGCTTGTGGGAAGAGATTGGAAAGGTTCAGAGATGTCACCTGAAGGAGCAGAGCTGGAACACCTTAGGCTGTTCTGTATGGGAGATTCTGCTCGGAGATCAGAAGACCAGAAAGCTGGTAAAGACCAGGCCCAGGAGGTTTGTGCTAGGAACTAAGACTGCATCAGCTACTGGATCCCAGGTGTTATATGTTGTGCATTGGCAAGAAGCTGGTCTGCATTTTGCTTGTGTTTAGAGATATTGCCCAAGTAGCAGAAAGGTTTCAATGTAATCTACTGTTGGGACAGTGGCATGGTTACTCTTAAGAGCTTTTGGCCAGATCTGTGTTGGAAATTTAAGAGTGAAGAACCAGCAAGGTGATTTAAAGCATTTGACCAGATGGAAGGCTCCAGTGGAGCTGTGGAATGCAAGGATGACACAGAAGAGAATGCAATTGTGGAGAAGAACAGGATAATGGAAAGATGAACTGAAGCCTTTCACCTGACAATAAGAGTATATTTGAAATGTAGGAGATTGCTGATTTTTAGAATTGTCATGCCCTGTTAAAACTTACTGGGAAGCAAGGATTGTGATTGTAGTAACTCTCTAAAATATGATTTTAGTGCAATTTTTAGATATATATTTGCAATTGAGTTAATTAGCCAAAGTATTATAGTTTTAACCTTGAACTTTGATCACCCTTTGAATGTTTTGCTTTTGGTGCATGAATGAGTGCAATAAGAATTGTATATATGTAATTGTAATATTAATGTAAATCTGAATAGACCAAAACATGTTAACTGTTCACACATCTGCCACTGGAGACTATGGTTTAAGGAAATGTGT